GCCAGCTGACATGCTGCAAGGATACTCAAGTAGTTAGTTCTATGGAATGGCCCACGTGGATAGGAATTCAGGCCTCCCACTAACAACCAACACCAACCTGCTGGCCACGGGACTGAGCAAATCACATGGCTGGTAAAGCAAATCCTCAAGCCCCAATCAAGCCTTCAGACGACTACAGCTCTTGACTGACATCTTGACTTCAACCCCATGAGAGACCCTGAGCCAGAACCACTGAGCTAAGCTATTGCCAAATTCCTGATTGGCAGAAACTGTGAGAGATAATAAACGTTTATTATTGTTTAAAAAAAATATCAAACCGATACAAAAATAGAAAACTTGAATGGACTATAACCATTAGAAAAACTTGAAATGGTGAGTAACTCCTGCTCTCCACTATCCTCTGGGGAAAAAAAGCATAATCTGAGGCTGTTTTACAGTTGAATTCCACCAAGTATTTAAGGAACAGGTAATATCTATCTTTTACAGCTGTTCTACAAAATAGCAAAAGAGAAAGCTATCCAATTTATTTTAAAACCATAACCATGGTGGCCACTGAACATGAACAGCACAAGAAAATTATAGGCAAATTTCATTTATGAGCACATACACAAAAACCCTAAATAAAATATTATATAATCTATTCTTTAAATACATGGAAAAATTCATCTGCCACACCTGGATATGACTATTAGTAACTAAAGTGAAAAAAATTAAGTATGTTTTTTGCTTTTCTAACAGGAAATGCATTCAGGGTAACCAAATAGCCCTAGTTACTGAGGGAAACCTCCCCTTTACAGAAGAATTTCAGTCAATAAATGTAGAAGGAATGATGGAATTATAAAAATAATTAAATAACTGATTTGGAAAAGATTCATCAGTAAGTATTAAAACTACTTGGTAAACAGTTGACAGAGAAATGAATATTTCCATGGTACCAAAGTATCACCTCCAGATATTACTTGCTAGTCCAAAGGGAAAAAAAGTAACTACAATGGAGAAGCCTGGCTGTCAGAATTGTAACCCAGCGATCAATCTTGACATCACTGATAACAACCCAGACATATGTGCTACTGATGTGATACAATATGAAGTACACAGAATCATCTATGAGATCTTCTTGCCAAAGAGGTTCAACCTGAAGCTAATCAAGCTTTTAAAATCTAATTTCCAGTTTAGAGAAAATATAAAGGATAGAGGAACAAAAGCTTAAATGTGAGAAAACCCTCAGAAAAACCCAAGAGGCAAGACATTCTAGAGACCAATTGGCCCACTCTCCTCAACCAGTCGATGACATGGGGCAAAAAGGAGTATGTGTGTGGAGGATCTTCTAGATTTAGAAAGACTAAAAACATACAACTAAATGCAACATATAGTGCAGGAAGGTTTTCAGGGGAAGCTTAAGAAACTAATTTTTTTTGAGGGGAAGAAAAATTTTGTGAAGCTATGGCTATTTTGAAAAAGATGAAAAAAGAAGGGGCCATTTTCTATAAAAGAAATTAGAATATACTAATATAAAGCCACAGTAATTAAAACTGTGTGTTAATAGTATAGAATCAGACAAATGGGTCAACAGTGAACATACAGAGCCCAAAAATGCCCATGAATATATGAGAACTGACTGAATGACAAAGTTGGCATCAGAATATCAGTGCGGGAAAGATGGACTATGTTTTAACAAATGGTATTGAGAAAATTAGTTAACTATATGGAGAAAAATTAGGCTGGATCCCTACCTCATATTATATTCAAAAATATAACACAAATATCTAAAGGTGAAGGATAAAATAATAGAGAAAATGTAGGAGAATATATTTGTATCCTCAAAGTAGGAAAGGATTTCTTTTCAAAGAAAACCAAAAAAAAAAAAAAAAAAAAAGGTTATAAATGGTAGATCTGACCATTATCAAAATAAAGGATGTGAACACATCAAAATGAAGGATTCTGTTCAACAGAAGATACTATGATGGACGCAACCTAAATGTCCATTGACAAAGGAATGGATAAAGAAGATGTGGTACATACATACAACAGAATATTACTTAGCCATAAAAAAAGAACAAAATAATGTCATTTGCAGCAACATGGATGGACCTAGACAGTGTCATACTGAATGAAGTCAGACAAAGACAAATATCATATGATATTGCTTATATGTAGAATCTAAAAAAAAATGGTACAAATAAACTTATTTACAAAACAGAAATAGAGTCACAGATGTAGAAAACAAACTTATGGTTACTGGGGCCAGGGGGTAGGGGGGGAGAAAAGGGGAGGGATAAGTTGGGAGATTGGGATTGACACATACACACTACTGTATATAAAATAGATAACTAATATGGGCCTACTCTATAGCACAGGGAACTCTTCTCAATACTCTGTAATGACCTATATGGAAAAAGAATCTATAAAAGAGTGGATATATATATATGCATAACTGATCCACTTTGCTGTACAGCAGAAACTAACACAACATTTTAAATCAACTATACGCCAACAAAAATTAACAAAAAAAATACTATGAACAGTTAGTAGATGATAGACTAGGAGAAGGTATCTTTTAGAAGACTAAAACAGACAAAGAAGTCCTCCCTTAAGTACAAGCAACTCCTACAGCAAGGTAAAGAACCCTAATAGTAAAGGGGCAAAGGACATGAACATGCAATTCGTAGAAGGGAAAATCTGAATGGTAAATAGTTATATGAAAAAATGGGTCAATCTCACTGTAAACAGATAAATGTATATTATGACATTTTGACATACTACTTTACACTCATCAAGTAGACAAAAACTAAAAAGTTGGATAATATCAAGTTATGTGGATATAGTGAAACAGTTACTTTCTCATACACTGGTAGCAGGAGCATAAACTTACAGTCATTCTTGAGAGTGGTATGTAGAACCTAATAAATGTAAGTCAGCCTACACACAATAAAATAGCAAGTCAATTCCTCAGCATACATTCCAGAGAAACTCTTCCACAGTCCTTTCAAGGGAAAAGAATATGTTCTTTGCAGTGTTGCTTGGAATAGCAAAGCAAAGAGACAGAAGCAATCTAAGTGCCTATCACTGGGGAACAGATAAGTAAAATATAGTATATAACAGAATATTGTGTACCAGTCAGAAGTGAATAACTAGATCTATATGTAACAACATGGGTAAATCTCAAATACAATGCTGCTTGAAAAAAAGGAAAAAACAGAGTGAGACATATAGTACAATGCCATTTATGTATATAAAACATATATACTTAGATATATGAAATCTTAAAAAATGTCAACACATGTTGGACAGATCAAAAGGACGTATGTTAAAAATCCAAGAATGGGTACTTAATGCAAGACTGGAAAGGACAATGGAATTGGAGATGGGAAATGAGGGTGAAACACACACACACACCACACACACCACCACACACACATACACGAACATACAACTAAAGAACAGTCTTTCAAGAACAGGTGATGGAAGTGGGCCATAAACTGAGAAATCTGAGCAAGAGAATTTAGTGAAACTGAAGTCCTAAAAAGAACAGAAAAGGGAAAAAAAAAATCCTATAGGAAAAAAACAAAGCTAAAGGCTCATAAAAAAATGATCACTTAAAGACTATATAGCTGGGCTTCCCTGGTGGTGCAGTGGTTAAGAATCTGCCTGCCAATGCAGGGGACACGGGTTTGATCCCTGGCCCAGTAAGATCCCACATGCCATGGAGCAACTAAGCCCATGTGCCACAACTACTGAGCCTGTACTCTAGAGCCCGCGTGCCACAACTACTGAAGCCCGCGCGCCTAGAGCCCGTGCTCTGCAACAAGAGAAGCCACCGCAATGAGAAGCCCATGCACTGCAACAAAGAGTAGCCCCCGCTTGCCACAACCAGAGAAAAGCCCGCGCGCAGCAACGAAGACCCAATGCAGCCAAAAATAAAATAAAATAAATAAATTTATTTTTTAAAAAAGGACTATATAGCTAACAAGCAACTTGGTTTAGTTACTAGGGTATTTTTTTAACAAGATAAAAGTATTCTAATTCATTTACTTTTAAAATTGCAATACGCCACGGAAGCTTATAAAGACATAAAAATTAAAGTACTTTAGTCTTCACATTTTACCAATAAGGAAAAGGCAAATAAGCTGAAAGTAATAACAATGAAGCCGACCATGAAAGTAACCAGCTTTTTCATCTTGAAACCTTTTAGAAATTGTTGCTCTAAGACAGTTATATTGCAGTTTACAATAGGCATACAGCAGATACTACTTCTGGTATTTGTCCCCTGGACTAGATGGAATTAGCCCACAAACTAACCCTGAAATTTTAGGTCCTTAAATGACAAAGCCCATGTCAAACTAAAATACTATGTAACAGCACCCAGCTCAGAATTATTTTAAGTAAGCATTTAATGCTTTCTTATATGTAACCAGATTGTCCTCAATACCTCTATTATTTCAGCTTTTTGGTCTAGTATTGCTTTAAAGTGAACAGCCCAGAAAAAGAACAAGAATAAGTGAAACTGCTGCCATAATAAGCTACAAATATTATTTCCCTTATTAGCATTGAGAGCAGAAGGCTGTAAGCTTCTCCTTCCACTCCTATACCTTTGAATACTGATATACTTTTAGAACTTTGATTCACTATACCTCTCTTCAACCTATAGAAAGGATTATAGAGTTAAGATCAGTAATCACAGTCATTTTTGGGCTTAATATAGTATGGCACAGATAACTTGTTCAACAAATGTTTGTTGAAATAAATTACTGATTTAACAAGAAAAGTCAATTGGTTTATGTTAATAAATATAGCCTTGCAGCTCTTCTGAACAAACCAAATAACCATATATTAGCACATCTGAAAAAAGTCAATTCCAAATGAATTATAAGATTAATGATTTTTAAGAGGCACAAATAAGAAAAATATACAAAATACATTAAATCAACTCATCTCACGTATGTCTGGGCTGAATAAGATATATGCCTATCTCTTATAAATGGATATATTCTTATCCTTACCAATGGGGGATTCTGGAGTTAGCCCCATGCTTTGAAGCAATGCTTCAGCTTCTCTTCTTTTTTTTTCAAGATCTGATTCTTCTTGCACAGGAGCAGCTGCTTCCTTCTTCTGATCAGTCTAAATTTTTTAAGTTAAAAATTTAAATTTACATATGGTATGAAACATTTCTGTTTGCAAAAAATATAAATTTTTTAAATAACATGCTAATACTGTATACTTCTGGAGGTAGACTTAGTTTTGAATACACATTATAGTCATTAAATGAAAATCATTCTCAATAAAGTTTTAGTAAGAATCTACAAATGATATGTATTAAATTGATCCTTAAAAAAATTTTATTTAATTTATTTAATTTATTTATTTTTGGCTGCACTGGGTCTTTGTTGTGGTGCGCAGGCTTCTCATTGCAGTGGCTAGTCTTGTAGCAGAGTATGGGCTCTAGGCACGCGGGCTTCAGTGGTTGTGGTACGTGGGCTCAGTAGTTGTGGCTTGCAGGCTCAGTAGTTGTGGTGCACGGGCTTAGTTGCTCCGTGGCATGTGGGATCTTCCCGGACCAGGGCTCGAACCCGTGTCCCCTGCATTAGCAGGCAGATTCTTAACCACTGCACCACCAGGGAAGCCCTAAATTGATCCATTTTTATATGTAATCAAGGAGTTCTCACAAAAATTTTCTGAACAGATAAATTCAAAAAGCATAGTCAATTTCTATTTATTTACAACATGAAATTGCTATCCATGGTCAGGAATTGTGGAAATCTCACAAATACATAAATACCACAACACTATGAAGAAAAAAAAAAGACTGAATCATTTAAGAGATAAAAAATTTTAAATAAATGAACAATCTGATTCGTTGAAAAAGTACAAGTACCTCAAACTTCTTTATGAAGTCTTCAGTGTCTTTATTCAACTTTATGTAAAGGATGTTTGTCAAAAATTCATCTGGAGACAGGTTTTGTTTTTATTTTATAAACTACAGGTCTTATTTTTATGATGATAAACACACGGTTTGGTTTGGTAAAATTAAAATTTACTCTTGCATAGCACAAAACATTTTTTGTCATTGAAATTTTTGCCAACATTTATTTCAGCCATTTATAGTTTTAGCAAAATCTTCCAGTTAAACTAGATAAGCCTCAACACTCTCAGATCATCCAAAACATCTCAAGTGAAATTTAAGCCTTCAAGGAAAAAGTTTTATATATACACCTCAAAAGTCTTTTTCAGCTAGACAACTATTACTCATACAATCGTCTGCAGTAAATTTTGTTAGTCATAATATTCTGATACCATTTTAACTTAAAGAAGTCATCAGAAAATTTCATCAAAATAGCCAAACAGACTATATTATCAAGTAGACACTTTACCTGTATATAACAATATATTAGTAGACTCACTGTTTAATAGTATTATAATTGTAATGTCTCTGGTAATGTTTGATAACCTTTAAATCAGCTATAAAGCATGTAATAGATATCCCTTAGGGCCACCTATGGCCATCTTTAGAAAACAAAACCAAATTTGCACTCAGCCCTGAAGGGTTTAAGGCTACACATACTAGTTTGGAATGGCTCTGCCAGTCTGACTCATGCTTCTATCTGTTGGCTTTTCATCAAATGGAGAACTTTAAGGTCCAACTCTCTTATAATAATGGATCACAAAAAGGTTCAGAATAAACTAGAAAATTCTTCAAGTACAGGCCTTCACAGTATCATAGCAATGCTGTACATAAATTGCACCTTCGGTTTTTCTTTTTCCCTAAGAGATTCCTGGAAGTCTTGGCTATTGTTTAGGCTATCACAGAGAAAAACTTCGTACTGTCACACTGAGAACCAACTATCTTAACACTGGCCATTTAAAACATCTATGATAAAAGTATACAAATCTGCCTAAACAGTTTCCATAGAGATAAATGTACATTTCAATACAGGAGAAAGTAAAATATCTCCAGCTCAGGGTCAATGTATATTTGCCATACATGATGAAATGATGATGCCAAAAATCAGAAGATGTAAGTACCTAGTCCACCTTTACAATAGTATCAAACCCACTACTTGGTAAAGATATTTCAATGACTAACTCATAATAAAGGAGATACGATCAGTTAAATAATCCCCTAATCAATTAATAATCTATTCTATATTTCTCTTTGCCATTATTTATTCCAACAACTAGCAGTTCCGACGAGTAAAATATTCAGGTAAGTTCAAAGTCCAAACTAAGTTATGATGTATATGCCATGTTTTATGAGCTATTACAAGGCAGATGCCCCTTACTTTATATAATAAACATATCCCTAGAAGACTAAATATGCATATTGAACTTTTCACCTAAAGTGCTATATTTGCAGTCACAACTGCTGGAATTTTAACTATTCTAAAAGTATTACATAAAGGTATGAGTACTTAAAATCCAATTATTTTATATTATCTTTAAAAAAAATCAAACATACTTCTTTTTTTTTCCTTTCTTCTTCTTTCCTCTTCTTTTCCTCTCTTATTTGAGCCAACCGCTGCTTCTTACGTTCCAACTCTGCCTTTAATTCACTTTTGTCAGACATGTTTGCGACCTTAAGAAGCATATAATCATTTACAATCATTATTTCATTGGTAAAAGCAGCACTCTTTAAAAAAAATTAGTCTTTCAAGAAGAGAACTGTCTCGAGAGGCCATGTAGTTCAATGCTATCTAAAGAGAACATATAAACTCTACTTTTAAAATAACGGAAGCACATATATTACTAAGACCTGAAAAAAATTATCAATATAAACAAACGTGTATAAAAAATAAATACCCAGAATTGAGCATAGTAACTAGCACCAGTAAGCTCTTTAATGTTCACATGCTCAAATTCAACACAATATCTCTGGCTCTTAGAACAGAGGACACGGGCTGGCATTAAAAGCTAAGCTATATGACACAGATCAAATCTCTCAGAGTTTTGCATTCATTCCTAGAAATTTGATAAAACAGGCGGTCACACAAAAAATTTCTATAAATTCTAAAACTACCATGTAATAGTAATATTAAGAAGAAGCAAAACACAAATATTACCACCAATAACTATTAAATATACTTAAAGTAAGTACGTTTTTAGTCAAAGCCCAACAAAAAAGTCTGACCGGATAACTACATACAGCTGTCAGGTCCGCTCAACCTCCTAGAGGCCGGAGCCTCCATGATTGACGCGTTCACTTTCTTAAAACTCCAAGGAAGAGAAAGTCTCAGGAATTTTGTGCTACAACCTCCGCGTTCGGGTACTTTCAAACACACACCAGGTAAAGGAAAACGCTGTCAACGCAAGTAATAGCGACTTTTATTTATAAAATGGAGTAAGGCGAAAAGCAGTCACTTCTCCCCTGGGGTCACGGCCAAGAGGGAGCGGTGCAGAATAGGTCCGGGGGAGGAGGCCTCGAACTAGCCTCGAGGCTCCTCGGGGCACCTCCGGAGGGTCCAGAAGGGAAGGGAGTGGACTCGTCTCCCCTGGCCTCCCTGAGTCACCGCACCTGGTTCTCCCCGCCTCTCCTTCCCGGAGCCCGGCCCGGGCGGCGCTGTCAGCAGGAACTGCCAAGCCGCCCTTAGAGTCCCGACGTGAGACACAGCAGACAGAAGGGCCTAGAAGGAAGGACAGTCAACCCACCTGTTAGATGGTGGGATGGGGAAGGGTCCAACTGCCAGCAACTTTCCAGTAACGTCCCTCTCCTTTGCCCCCAAAGGCAACGGTCGCGGCCACTAGCTCCGCAGCTTTCCCCAAGCACACAAAGAGGGATGGGCGGCGGCTGCTACGGCGAGAGCTGAGGGACAAATGGCTTCACCACAACGAGGTCGCTCCCAGAAAGAAAGGGAGGGGCCCTGCTGCGGGGAACTGTAGCCCCTCTGTGACTTACCTGTGTAAAGCAGAAGCCGAGAGATGAGACAAAGAATCCGCCCAGGGTCCCGAAGTGTTTCCGCTTTGCCAAAACCTGTAAGACTAAGCCTAATAGCCTGGGGCTGGGTAAGCAAACACCCCCCCGTCGCCTTAAGGATTGACTCGACCAGGGAGAACTACAAGCCCCAGCTACAAGGAAAACCTGCGTACGGCGAGCAATGCACTCTGGGAGTTGTGGTCAACGGTAGTCGCAAAGTATGCTGGGACATGTAGTGTTCCCTAGTCTTTCGATTTTCCCACTTTGAGGCCTTCCTTCAAGATTCCAAAGAGAAGCTTCCAGCAGTTCTCCTTAATGTAGTCTTGTCCGCTGGTCATTGCTCACAATGTTGTATGTGTTATATCTTAAGATCTTTGACTCAACATTGGCCGAATGTTTAAGAAGTGTTATTTTCAAGTGGTGAACCTATGTATTACACTGAACATTTGGTGAACACTTTCTAGGATATTTATACCAGTATTAGAAAAAAAACGCCTTACAGAGGTTTAAGCAAAATCTAGAATACAAAATCTAAATTTTGAAAATGTAGTGTAACCTCATCTGTCAAAAAAATGTGAGAAATTGTCTTTAATTAGAAAGAGATTTGTAAATCTTTACTCAGTTTTCACTAGTGTTCGTGGTTGTAAACTGGCTTCATTGGGGTGTTACAGTTATGAAAATTAGCAAGCAAACCTCTGATTCCTGTATTTCCTCCCAAATTTCTTTAAATTTAAGTTTCTTTAAATATTCCATGTATACATGGAATATTTATTTGAGCCTGCAAATAAAATGATAACTGTTGCAATCAATGAATCAATAAGAATGTGTTAATCAGCATAGCAAATAATTCCTCAGTGTTTTGTTGCAGTGTGGTAGGTAGCATTTGGGTTTTATCTCAAAGAATTTTTTAAAAGAAAGCATTTTATACTATTGGAATCTAAACCAAGCAAGAAGGTTTCCACAGTTTTAGATTTTTTTAATATACAAAGAAAGCAAAAGTTATTAGAATATGAATTTACCAGAAATGTGTGGCTTGATACACATTTTTTAAAATTTTATTTAAAGAATTTAAAGCATTATTTAGCAAGAATTAAAGCTGACACCAAAGCAATGTCTTTCTTATATTCTAGAATGACATTGCCCAAGTCTAGCAGTAATCCTAGGATTCAAAATCTAAGTCCTTGGGCCTGTGTCTAGTCTTTTCCTTGTCTTGCTCTGCCTATATACAAGATAAATATCTCAGAAATAAATTTGAGAAAGGAAATCCTTTAATTCCAAGACTTTCCCCCATAACCTAAAATTTCAAAGAGGTTTATAACTATACTCCTTTTTTGTTTTCTTTCTTTTTTCCTAATATTTAGTTTTCATTTATTAATTTGAAGAATTGTTATTGATTACCTACTGTGTGCCAGGAACGGTAAGAGCTAAAATGCATATCTCTGTTCTCAAGGGGGAAGGACAGCCGGGATACTCAGTTCAACTAAGTATTATGATGGGATTAAGTAAGGAAGTGACGGAAAAACTCTGAAAAATAAAATTTTCAGGAGGAGGTGATTCCAGAGCTAAGTCTTTGATTCTGGAAGGTTAAGTAGAAGTTTGCCAAGCAAAGTAGATGCATAAGATTGCCTTAGGAAGAGGAAAGAATATGGCCAATGTTCAGAGGAGGTGTGAGATCAGGGACTACTGGAGAATCTGGAAATAATTCAGAATGGCTGTAGGCTAAGACAAAAACTGGGCAAATGAAGCCATAGGCAGGGGTGAAGTCACATATTCCAGTTTAGATTTAGTCCTGAAGATGATGTGAATCCACTGATAGATTTTAAGTAGGAGAATGGTATGATAAGTTTAGCATATTAGACAACTGACCTTTTGAAGTGTCTGAGGAAAGGCTGGTGTGCTGGTATTTTCTATGGCCCTTGGACTCATTTCCTGCCCTTCTCTGCCAAGCTCGTGCCTCTGGGGATTGACCTCATCTTCTTTGAGGTTGGGTTTAATGAAAGTGAGGCTTAGGTAAGGTTATCAGAAGGCAGATGGAAAGTGAAATTGGCACCTCTTCCCCACTCCTTCTCTCCTTTGATGTTATATCTCTAGTAGTAGCTTCATCCCTCCATGACTACAACTCCTGCCAGGTGGCCCCTCCTCTATGGCTCTGCCTTTCACTGGGCTCTGGAAACTTTATCTTCTCTCATTGTCTCTTTATTTTCTCCTCTAAGTGTTTCATCAACTCTTATTTGCTCCCTTACCTCTGCTAGCCCCTCTGCAACTGATCCTTTCATTAAAAGACCTTCATTTGAACTATTTGAGTGAACTCTGTTTCTTCCTGAGACCCTTATTGATCCTGCTTGGTTGGAAGGATGGGATATGGAGAGAACAGTCAGAGTAGAGACTAGAAGCAGGGAATGCAGTTGGAAGGCTTTTGGATGGAACCAGAAATTACATGTGTATGAGCCAATGCATTAGCAGTAGGGATGAAGCAAAATAGGTTAAAGAAATATTAACATTGTGTAAGACTTTTACAGCAATAAAGCAGAGTTGTACCCCAACTGACCTTCCCACTGAAAATAACTAAAAATGAGGATAAAACAACTTCCTTCTTGCTTCAAGAAGCTGGCAAGACAGTAAAGAATACTTAGGATAAAAGAAGGTAGGAACCTTAAGGGCATTTACCTAACCTTGTGAATTTTCACAGCCCTGTAGGGGTCAGATCATAAAAGACAAAGCCCAAGGCCCACTCTAGACTGGGATTTTAAAAAGAAACCTCCAAACACATCCTTGATCTAAGAAATCCACTCCTACTCCTGAAGGACTGCCCAACAACTTTGCCACTGAGAGGGGTGGGAATAAAGAGGCAATTCTCTGAGAATGTGCAATCACAAAAGGGCCTTCATGTGGATTTGCAGCCTGAAATGTCAGTACTTGGATGGTTCGTAAAAACACAGATGGAAAATTTTGTTTACAGTTGTCCCAGACTTGTCATGTACTCAGGTGCCTAGGAGAAGCAAACATGAATCTTTTTTATAGAAATCCATCCTTATTCCAGGCTTTGGAGAATTCTACACAGACAAATTTTAAGAAATTTGAGCTCAAAAATCACAAAACACATGAAGAAAGAAGGCACCAAAAGCAAGAGCCAACCAACTAAAACAACAGATAGCAGAATAAGACCCACAAGGACTTCAGATATTGGAATTATCAGACACAGAATATAGAATAAGTAAGGTTAACATGTTGAAAAAAATTCAAGAAGGAACTTAAAATATGAGTAAAACAGAAGATTGTTAAAAGAACCAACTGGAACTTCTAGAAATCAATAATGTAATAACTGAAATTAAAAACTCAATAGATGAGTTAAACATAGCTAAAGAGAGCACTATTGCCCTTACACAGCATTGGACACTATGCTTTGGAGAATGTGCAGGCCTTCATCCAGCCACAAAAAATCTGCATGGCTAAGGATATGGTAAGTCACACAGAATCTATATGCCCCCTTCTGGATCATACTTCTGCCACCAGGGGCCCTGAAATTCCCAGTTCAGATGGCCCCAAGCCTGCTTCCAGTTCCTCATGCAGACCTCTTCCTTAGGTCTCTCCCCCTGAGAGTAGACTGTGCCCTCAGGGGGTGGGCAGGAAATGGCTCTCATGGGACTATGGATGGAATTAGGATTTGTAAATTGGGTGTCTAAATGTGTACATTTGATGTCCCTTGCAGTGTGGAATGGAGCTGAGGAGAGAAGACAGGGGTTTGGGGTTAACAGTTAGGAGTTAGCTCTCCCTATGCCACTATATTATAGGGCAGAGCTCTAGGTATCCAAGAATTTTATACTTTTTTTTTTTTTTTTTTTTTTGGAACGCGGGCCTCTCACTGTTGTGGCCTCTCCCGTTGTGGAGCACAGGCTCCAGATGCACAGGCTCCGCGGCATGTGGGATCTTCCCAGACCTGGGCATGAATCCGTATCCCCTGCATTGGCAGGCGGATTCTCAACTACTGTGCCACCAGGGAAGCCCAATCCAAGAATTTTAAATTCAAACTTTGTCTTTGTCAAGATCAGAGGATGGAATCTATTTTATTTAATACTTTATTAGCTTGATTGCTAACTTTTAAATATATTTATATAGTATGTTGCCTTCCATTTGTACTCTTTCCGAGGGTCCTAGAGATATTAGGAACAGGTCAAGAAGAGAAAATTTGTGTATTGGAAGATAGTACTAAAGACACCATCCAGAATGCAATATGGAGAGAAAAAAAAGATAGTATGTTAGAAAGATTTAGAATCATGGCGGAGAGGAGAAGTAGGTCTAATAAGCATGTCATGAAGTTCTAGAAGGGAAGGGGAGGGAGAGTAGAGCAGAGGCAATTTCAGATGTAAAGACAATTTTCCACAACTGGTGAAAATAACCATTCCATAGATTCAAGAATTCTAATGAGTTGCAAACAGGATAAATGAAAAGAAATCCAGAACTTGACACAGCTGAATTTAACTGTAAAAAACAAAACAAAACAATAAAAAAATCAATCCTGAAAATAACCCAAATATCCACCAACTGGTGAATGGATAAAATTGTAATATATTCATACTGTGGAATACTACTCAGCAACAGAGAGGAATGAACTACTCATATACACAACGGCATGAGTGAATCTTGAAAACATCATGCTAAGTAAAAGAAGTCAGACATAAAAGACTATGTACTGATCACATTTCTATGAAATTCTAAACAAGGCAGAATCCTAGACAATGACAAAAAGCAAATCAGGGGTTGCCTGGGCTGGGATGGAGAGAGTGACTAACTGCTAAGGAGCCAAAAGGAAACTTTTGGAGTCATGGAAGTGTTCCTGTGGCTTCGTAGTATGTTTTGAAGTCAGGAAGTGTGAGACCTCCCACTTTGTTCTTTTTGAGATTGTTTTGGCTATTTGGAGTCCCTTGAAATTCCATATGAATTTTAGGATGGATATTTTTATTCCCGCAAAAAAAGGACATTGGGGTTTTGATAGGGATTGTAGTGAATCTGTATATCGCTCTGGGGAGTATTGCCTTTTTTTTTTTTTTAACTTTTAAACCTTTAGCCAGACTCATCAAGAAAAAGAGGGAGAGGGCTCA